CGTATCATTAAAAAAAATGTCTTTATATTTTTAAATACTTTGCTAATAATAAGTATTTTATATGGGGCGTCAACGATGCCTGGAATATCTAGCCTTGATCATTGTTTTTAAATTTAGGACAAAGATCACTTGAATTGGAGTTAGATAACGTTTTAATTAATTTTTTTATTCCCTTATTTTCGAGATTTTCGGGATCTCTGTTATTCGGTTCAAACTAAAATTTTATGCGAAAGCTTGCAAATAATTTTATTCGAAATTTTCCCAAAGCCCCAAAAAGTCTAATTCCGGTCATAGTTGGCCTGTTAACAGTTGACGTAAATTTTTTATATTATCGAGCCCAGTCAATTTTGATTTAAGACTTATATCGCAAATATTCTAAAATATAAACTGCTATTGTAACAGTGTAAATAATACAGGAATTTAGTTATATTCAAATCTTTCCGATAGCTCAACAATAATGTTTTTTCATAAATTAATATGATTGTTAATAATAATAAAATTGTAACATTATTATTGTTGGAGTCGGGCCCAATCTTTAATTGAATGATATTCTTCAATTTATTCCATGTGTTTATAATGTTAAAAATATAAAAGGAAATTCAGTGAAAATATTTCCTTAATAAATATCTATCTTATGGGTAAATAGTTTTTTTGCCAGTATATTTGTCACGAACAACGTTTTTAGGTAGTATAATAAATAAAGGGAACTGTCCAGTAAAATGCATACTTTATCAAATGAAATTCGAATAAAAATGGATAAAGAATGTGTTTTCCCGAATGAATAATATACAATTTATCTCAATAATCTCAATATGTTATACATAAAATAGATTTATTTGCTTAATTGTAAAAAAAGTAACACTGTGGATTGAATAGTTGCCCTTAAATATTGTGATGCATAGATAATTAAAATAAAAAGGGTGCAATATCAACCATAATACCACAATATTGAACTAATAAAACTATTAATTTAATGCAGTAATTTTCTAATTTAAAAAAATATATATATTGCTTAATATTTTACATCCTGTAGAAGTCATATCTGTGAAAATCGCAGATCGATATCATCGATTTATAAATGGTTATTTTTTAGCTTCAATATGAAGCTAAGAAGATATTTGTATTTGTAAGGGTTACGTTTTTTATGTTTGTCCGTAANAATAAAACTATTAATTTAATGCAGTAATTTTCTAATTTAAAAAAATATATATATTGCTTAATATTTTACATCCTGTAGAAGTCTGTGAAAATCGCAGATCGATATCATCGATTTATAAATGGTTATTTTTTAGCTTCAATACGAAGCTGAGAAGATATTTGTATTTGTAAGGGTTACGTTTTTTATGTTTGTCCGTACAAATTCTCAGCTCTCGCAAGACTGATGTTAATAACCAATATGTCAAAAGGAACTGATTTTAATCTAGTTAAAAAATTGGTGAACACTGAAAATTGGAAAACCCTCGATTTTAGAAATTTCAAAATTACAAAGCCGTAAAAAACGTAACTTATACATTTTTATATAGAAAGTTAAAATATTGAGGTAGGACTAAATTAAGATATTTTCTTTGTTATAAAAATTACTTATATCGACTTATTACAAACAAATTACATAATTATTTAGTTAAATACTTAGTAGTGTGTCATTTACTAATGCTGCCAACTTATAATAATAAAAAAAAAATTTTGTTCGATAATTTTTTTCTATCAGAAATCGGAAATCAAAGTAACAAGATACGCAATTTAAAAAAATTCTATTTTTTCAAAAATATAAAGAAAAAAGGTAAGAAATGGGTTTATGTTCTTTATGTTTCCAAAGGATAGTAATTTATTGTTTAGCAGAATAGTATAGGCTATAAGGTTGAATAAAGTTCTAATGCATAATATTTATAAAAAAAAATAATTTTTAGAGCCTTTAATATTTGAGTGGAATTTTGAAACTTAGAAATGCAAAATAATAAATATACAAATTATTGTGAAATTTTACAGATTCACATCAAAACGTTTTTTATGATAGTGATGTTAATCAGTATCAGATATAATATTTAATTGTCCCAACTATGCCATTACCCAACTTTACTGTATTTTTAGTTAATTGATTATTAAGTGCAATTTCTTGCCGAGTACATTGATTGTCACAAGTGAGTGGTTACTGTTTTCACTTAATAAACATCTGCGGAATCGTGTGTGATGGTTTTAAGCATAATAATACAAATAGTTACGTTCCGTTTTAATGAATTTATTTCATTAGCTTACTCAACATAATGCACCTGTTAACACTTAGTGTTAGTACATTTTTTTAACTAGAAAACTGGACGATATTTGTGTCATACATTGAAATGACCGAATTTTCTTCTATTTTTTGTATTTTCAATCCTTTTTTAATTGACAGAAAAACAAGGAATTAATAAAGAAGAATTTAATAAGTAAAAAAATTTTTTGTGTCAACTATAGAATACCTTAGAAAACTTGCTGCTCTGTGTTTTAACTATTGTAAGGCAATGTCTGGGATTGACATTTATCTTAATCAAACGTAGTATCATGCTAATTTTAATATTGTCATAAAATACATCCCTTGCATAAACGCTACTGTACAGCACTAATGTGAAAGAGTAATGCCAAAACAATAATGATAAAAAATATTTCAGGCACACAAATCTTAAAATTCTAAGAGTCATTTTACAGAGGTTTTTTCAATACATAATAAATAGTAGTAGTAAGCAAATAAACTATTGACATAAATTGTAATTGGATAATGTTTATCTCACTATTTAAACGGATTTGTAGATTAAATTTAAAACACGAGACGACAACAACATTTAGTTAAGTTTAATCAATTAATTTAGTTTTATTAAATTCTAATATTAATATGCATATTAATATTCATATTAATTGAATCACGTAAAATATTGAAAATTCAAGTGTTATAATATTAATTTAATGTGGAATTAAATGACGTTCAATCTAAATAATAAAACAAAACATCGAGAATACCTTTTAATAAAATACAATTTTTCATTGTACACGGGAAATTAAATAATAAAAATCCAATATAATTAAGACTCTAAAAAGTAAATCATGCTTATTTATTATTAACCAAACATGTTACTTGAACAATTTTTTTTTGCGAATCCTTGTTACCTATGGCAGTATAATGATTCTATAAATATTAAAAATGTATACACATCAGGTTCAAAATTTGAAACGCTAAAAATACTAAAAACCAAATTAATTAATGAATTTAACTAATAATTTAAATAATCAAAATTATTTTCAATATAATAATCAAATTTATTTACAGAATGATGGACTAATAACAGGTAATCCATTAAGTACCACACTTTCAGAAAAGTACATGCAGAACTTTGCAAATAAATTTATACTCAACAATACTCAATTTAACACAAATATTACTTCAAACTTCAGATAAGTTTCTGATACATTCATTTTATTTAATAATAACATAATACAAGCTAAAATTATACTATCTAATCTAACCAAAATCAATAAAAGTATACATGTTACACTCGAAATACAAAAAAATAATTAAATTGATTTTCTAGCCCTCGTACATTAAAATAATAATAAATTTGAATCTAGCATCCACCGAAAGCTTACTCACGTAGACTTATCAACTTTTATGTAATAATTCAAAACTCCCGTACTAACATAAAATAGTATATTTCAATTCTTTATTATAGGGTTGAAAAAATATCTACAATAAATAATGAATATAATGATGAATTAAATAAAATTCATATTATTGCAATTATCAATAATTTTAATATATATATATATATATATATATATACAAAATATAAGATTACTTAACGCAAAAAAATTATATACGGAATAATATTAAATATTGTAGTATGATACATTTATATTTCAGAATAATTAGTAAAAATATAAAATAATAATATTAATAATATTAGAATATATCTAATAATAGATAGTTTGATAAAAAATATTTAATTAAAAACAAAAAAGACAAATTATAATTATAATAAAATAAAAAATATAACTGTTGTGGATTCTATAAGTTAAAATGCAGTTGCAATAAATTTTATGTAGGTGGAACTAATATTAGGAAAGAACATATAAGAGAGAGTATAAGTGTAAATAGACTTAATAGAGAAAATAGATTTAGATGGTTTTGGTCATGTTACGAGTAGAGAAGAATCGGAAGCTGTAAGAACAGTTATAGAAATGAATGTTGAAGGAAGAAGAGGTAGAGGAAGACCAAAAAAGAAATGGAGGGATGCTATTGAATGCGATATGAGGACAGCTGATGTGAGCGTAGATGATGTGGGAGATCGTGTTAAATGAAAGTGTATGATAAGGGTGGCCATCCCTAAGTAGTAGTAGGTGAAGAAAAAGATTAAAATAGTTATCTTAAAGGAAAAAAGTATACGAATTACTCTATTTTAATTAATAATTGATATAATTATTATTATTATATATTCTATATCAATTCTTAATTAATCTATTTAAATACATCAAATAAGGTAGATATCGTTTTACCTGTAAAAAAAATATTTATATACCTAAAGTATATTACCAAAAGTTTTTCTGAATTATGTAAAAGGCTAATTTTTAAATTGCGGGTGAGTATTGCACTCAGTATCGTAGTACTTATAGATTTATTTGGAAGGAAATCTGTTATTTTCTACCAAAATTATTAATATAATTTTGAAAAACCAAGCAAAGTGGGGACGCGTTTGAGACAACTATAGATATTTAAAAATAATTAAGATCTTTATCATAAAAATCGCGTTTTGTGGATAATAATTATTGCTTTTTGAGTTAAATATTTTTTAGTTATGAACTAATATTTTAAATATATTAGCTACAAGTTATTAATTCTCGTTGTATTTTAAGCAAAATAACATTTACTAAATTAAAAATTAAAATTTACAAATACATAAATGAAGTACTGACGAAACAAATTTAATTGTATGGAAAAAACTTTTTTTTTTGTTCAATGAAATTTGTTAGGCCACAATTGATAATTTAATAACAATATACATAATACAATGAAATAATCACGAAATTCAAAATAATAATTTGATTTTTTTTAAATCAAATTACTAAAGAAAATTTTAATACTTATCCTAGATCTACAACAATAACAATTTTCTTTTCAAGCTATACATTTTTATCAGATTTAATTGGAAAAAGTGGGATGAAATAATACTTTTATCCTCCTATTTATTGACTGGGGTAACTTCTCCTTATACTTCTTGGCTCCACATTACTATGTTCCGTACATGGTGTGATGAGGCTGATTAAAAAAATAACTCTTATTAAGTACTTCCACTTAATCTTTTTAACTTTAATATATTTACTTTATAATACCTTCAAATTGTAATTATATTTTTCAATGCATAATTATTCTTTTGTTCCTTAAACTGCTCATGATTACCAAAGATAGTTCTCTTTTATAAAGTTTTATTTGCATAAATTGTTATAAAATATTTATTCCAAATAAAAACTTTATATACAATACTATTTTTGTAACACTCTAGAATGTTTTGTTGGTTTATATTTGATGGGATGTGCAGTATTGTTAATTTTTGTAAAACCAGATTTAAACATAAATAAAACATAAACTAATTCAAACCACTAAAAGGAAAAAAAAATAAATGTAATTATATTAAAAAACCAACTTTTTAGGCCTACAAATTGCCCAATTGTAAATGAAATAAAATACAACCTTCTTATTATTCAGAATGTATAGTAAACTTTTGGACTCATCTTGATAAATCGGATTTTGTACTAGCGCTGAGGTTTGTATAAGGAGTCAACCTATGATATATTTCTTTTGAACAGCTGTATAGCTTGAGGAAGAGTAAACAAATTCTTAAGAATTACAAACTGTAAAACCTTTAACTTTTAGACATTTACAAAATTTTTATTCTCAAATTTATTTTATAGTTTTCCTTTTATTGATACCTATTAACACATAGGTTTTGTGTACCTAAAAATTTAATAAAAGCCATACTCAGCTAATTATAAAACTTGCTATTAATAGTTTTAGTAAGGCTTATGTTACTTTAACTATTTTACTTATATTAAAGTATAAGTTATTTCGATTTAAATATTTTATATACAATTATTACAAGGTCATATTAGTTATAGAATTGAAAAATTTACTCTATTACATTTGTTATAATGTAATATAAATCCTGTAAAATGGATTATCTTTGATAAATTAACTTAAAGATAAAATTTGTAGAATGAAAATAAAATAATATTATCATAAGCTACCACATTTTACGGTAATTAATTTTACTGGTTTGGGGGTTAATATATCACAGTGACACAGTACTTAATTAATACATTCAATTAACATACCAATTTTGAATGCTAATATAATTTTAATTAAAACAATAAGTTTTAATTAATGTAAGAAGCAAGTAGATAAATGAGTATTTATTAATGATATGATTACTACAACAGTTTAGTATTTTATTTTACAAAAAATTATTTTTTAATTTAATATTAATGTACATATAATAAATATTTATACATTTATTAATGGTTAATAATAAACTGTTTAATATATGTATTGAATTATTTCTCATTCAATGAGTACGCAATGACTCTTAATGGGCTGCTATGGCATCCTTAAAATAATACTATTAAATGTAAAACCTGTCTTATCAATAAAAGTTTTAAATAAAACATTTATTTAAGCCTTTAAAACTAATTCTTCAATGATAACTCTAAGAATTATTTGTAACCATATTAACAAATCCTAATCCTTCATAGTCATTATTAATAAATTCATTAAAAAATATAAGCCATCGATTGAAAATATTTTGTTTGTTGACTGTAAATAACTCGTCTTTACTAAAATTTTGAGCATTAGACAAATCAGTTGCATGTAACCATGTTGTTTCTGGTTTATTTCCATAGTCACAACATTTATTTGTTTGATTTTGCAAAGCTTTATACGATTTTATTAAAAATTTTCTAAATTTGATTAATTTATACATGTATCTATTAGCCATATTATTTATATGTATATGGGAAAACAATTTTGAATCACCGAAATCGTCATTTGTCAAACAATCATTAGAAATATATTCACAACACTTTACAAGGAATTCTCGTAACGATGATAAATTTGATGGTGAAATAGAATAACAATCCCAAACTGAATGTTCTTTTAAACTTTCCAAAGCTTTCAGCATAAAATTAAATAAAGTATGAGTAGCTTTAAATGTGTTTAAAAAAGTTGTCATACATTTTATAAATTTATTAAAGTTAGGTTTTTTAAATTCACAATACTCTAGTGTAGTAGATAAAATATAATCATAATTCATTAATATTTCGGAAAATCTACATTTAATCAATTGTAAAAAATATATTTTTTTTAAACGAAAATTATTGTTGTTTGCCTGGTCTCTAGTAATATGACTTGCACTAATTCTTTGATCATCATTAATAATTATATTAATATAGTATAGTAGATTCCAGTTACCGCCATTGATGAATGCATTTAATTTTTGAATTTCATGATCTTGAGAAATTTCTAAATCTAGTGGTGGCATTAATCTGTTAGCAAAACACATAAAATAGAAAAATTTAATTAAAATTGACGTAGTTTCAATTAAACAAATTACATCAAAATTTTTAATATACAGTTAAACCGGATTTAACTAATAACTCTTATGACTTTTGATCCAATAATCATTTCGAGGTAGTATTGTTTTTAAAAAAAATTTATTATTGTAGTTCTTTGAACCAAATAAATTTTTTTTTTTTTTTTACAAAAATTAAAAATTTTATAGCTTATGAAAGAATGAGTGTCTTACCCAAAATTAATTACCCTATATTATAGTAAATATACTTTTAGAAATGCAACAATTGTAAAAAAAAAATCTATAGCAAAATAATTATTGGATCAAAAGTTATAAGAGTTTTTAGTTATATTTGGTCCACTACATTGATTATAACTATGATCAATTTATAGTGTTCTTTGGTCAACAATAAATATGTATCCTGTTTAAAATTAGTTCATTTTAATTAATTTTAGTCACGAAATTGACATTAAAATAGTAAAGTTAGCTCTTGTTTTAAAATTAAAGTGCATTTAGCTATATGCACTATTGGATAAATGGCCATGAAATTAATTGTATTTTTATCGTTCTAATAAAAAGATACGATGCACAAACCTGAAAATTGATTATAATGAAAGTTAATCTTTATTGGTTTACAGGAATTGTTGTAATCAGTTGTGATAAAACATTTTTGATAGTTTAAAACTATTGATGTCAAAAAAGTAAATTTTTGTCGAATACATGAGGATTAAAACAAATTTTTATTTGTTCAAATCAATATGTAAGGTGGTGTATTCAGAAAATAACGAGAATCTTTAAATTTTGTGGATTTCGAGAGTTCAATTGTGATAATTAGAAAAAAATTTGTGATAATTTTTTTCCATAATATTGTCACACATGTCCCTGAAGTATAATAAAATTTTCAGCTGGATCCATTTTTTACTTTGTCAGTGGCAGCCGCTAAGGTTAGACATGTTTTTATGAGCTCCGCAATTCTCGTTTATTATAAGAAAATTAATCAAAGGATTTCTATCAAATTTGGCGTCAAAAATGAAATTAAGTGTGTGAAATGTTAACTAAGGCCTATGATGATTATGTCATAAGTAAAACAAGGGTTTACGAGTCATATAAGTATTTTCAAGATGGCCGTGAAGACGTTGAAGATGACGAACGTTCCGGACGCCCCAGCACATCAACAACCCATGAAAAAGTGAAATAAATGGTTATGAACGATCGTTAAATCTCAATCAGAGAAGTTACTGATGATGTTATAATATCTATTGGCTCATGTCATGAAATTTTTTAGAATATTTTGGGTATGAATAGCGTAGCTGCAAAATTTTGTTTCCAAATTTTAATTTTGAATAAAAACAGCAGTGAATGGAAGTTGCTCAGGAGTCACTTAATGAAGTCAACGACGATGCAGAATTACTTAAACGTATTATAATAGGTGACAAAATATGGTGTTATGGATACGACTTCGAAACTAAAACTCAATCGTCCCAATGGAGGTATTCTGGGTTGTCTAGACCGAAAAAGACTTGACAAGTGCGATTGAACGTGAAACTTATGCTCATTGTTTTCTTCAATTTTGATGGCATAGTGCATCATTAATTCTTGCCACGAGGTTAAAAGGTCAATAAGAAGTACTACCTAAAGTTCAACGCCGTTTGCGTGAAGCAATCCGAAAAATGATTGGATTTGTTACAAAACAATTCATGGCTTTTGCAACACAATAATGCATCTGCTCACACTTCATTACTTGTTCGTAAGTTTTTGGCCAAAAACAATACTGTAACAATGCCCCAGCTTTCATATTTGCCAGATATGGCTTTGTGTGACTATTTTCTACTTCTAAAAATAAAGAAAACCTTAAAGGGAGGTCGTTTTACAAGCATAGATGATATTAAAAGCGCATCGCTGAATGAGATGAAGGCTATCCCAAAGATCGAGTTTAAGAAATGTTTTCAAAGATTGAAAAAAGCGTTAGTACATGTGCATAATATATAATAGGGATTTTTTTAAAGGCAAAAACATTAATGTACACGAATAAATAAATATATTTTTCAAAAAACAAAAAATCCTGTTATTTTCTAAACACACGAATATAATTTTTTTTTTCATTGAATTATATTATATAAGACATGTGGCTTAATTAAATACCTTATAATTGGCGCAATTATAGCAAATCATTCCATCAACAAGATTGACAACTTTTGTTACGTGTGTGGCGAAGTAACTTTTTCATCGCAGAAGCGAAGTATTCTTTCCATTTTAAAACTGTTTATCGATTATATTTTGGGGTACAAATTGAAGATCAAGAAAAACCGTTTAACAATTGCGTAGTTAATTTGATAAAATGACTAAAGAAATAAAGTTATGCGTTTCACAATTCTCATAATCTATAATAAACCGACAAATTATAAAAATAATTGTTATATTTGTATTGTACCTCTTCTTAAGTATGGATAACTAAGAAAGGAGAAAGGTTCAATTGAGTGCCAAAATATTCAATCAGCTGTACGGCCAATACTTCATTCGGTCAAACTATATCAGTTTCTATAGCAGCAAAATAATTTGAAGTGGAAGTGGAAAAAAGCAATATGAAAGAAATAGATGTCGAAGAATCCTAAGTTTCTACATAATAAGTTTGTGATTTTGAACTTCATATATATATTTTTAATGAACCTCATAGAATTACTTAAGAGAAACTTTTTAGATCAAGACTCTTAGAGTGAAATATTCTAAGTTCTCTGACAATAATTTCTGTTTATAGAAAAGTCAATTTGATAAAGAACCATTTTTTAAAATGGAGAACAATTGATATTATTATATTGTGATTTGTCTTATGAATGTTTTTAATATATAAACTACATCAACAAGACTAAAGACTTTTAATTGATTCTTGTAAGCCTGAGCAATACTGCCTTAGGACTGATCCTAAGGCAGTATTGCTGTATAACGGAAATACTCTACCATCGATTCTAATGAGTTATATCATTCATATAAAACTTCTTCTAGATGCAATTAAATATAAGGATTATCAATGGTAGCAATAAAAACCATTCAACCAATAAAAATATTTATATTATATCACTTATATCATAGTTATAACTTTTTTTGCCTAAAGAATACACGCACACACACACACAACATACAGTCTAAATTTACTATATTTTAATTAGTGTCAGTCATACAATCATTTTTGTTACCTGCTTTCGGTAGGGTTTAACAGTTGTTTAAATCCTAAATTTTCGTAATAATTCAAAATAGTTTCTTCATAAAACGTATCAAGCTTTTCTACAAGCAAATTTACAAAACTCAATTTGTTGCTATAAATATTACTATATTTTTTGGCGTTAATTGATGTCAAATCATCATCCATAGAATTATTAACTACAACGACATTATTCTCAAAAAAATTTTGTGTTATTTTAGTTATAGTTTCGATAAAATATTTAACATCCAGCAATACTATTTTCGCTTTTTCTTTTTTATCTTTGGGATCAATGTCAATGAAATTTTCCGGTTTCGTCTTCGAATTAATGTTTTCTTTGACAAAATAAATTTCATCAACTATTGTATCACAATTTTTGCATTTTTTACTAAAGGCAAGTGTTACATCTAGATAACTTAAAACTGTTATTGAATCGTATAAATGCTCAAACATTACCAAAGAGTTTTTCATTGAATTTTGAATAATACTAGTACAATATATTAAATTTTTTTCAGAATTCAAATTCAAATATGTTTTGCAAAGAGCTATTATTATGTCTAAATGATTAGCAAATATTTTTACTATTTCCATATATTTGTAGTTAATTAAATGAATAATGTTATTATACAAACTCAAGAAATTTTCGTCAACGATATTTTGTGCAAATGTTTCTCTTATAGGACATGTAATAGAACTATGTTTCACTTGCAAGTGATGCATCAAATTCCATCCTTTTTGAACACGGATATGATTAAGAACTTCAATAAAATATTTTGAATAGGTTTTTCGTGATATTTTACAATTAACAATAGAAATATTACTTGAAATCCAATAAAAATAAAACATACAAATTAATAATCTAAGATTCATTTTATTGTCTTAAGGTTATTAAAATAATATAACAGATGAACCTTAGATTAGAAATCATTTGAATTATAAAAATTTATATTATAATATATTTATTTATCTAGTATTCTAATATTAACTTACAAGCATCAATTTCAAAAGATAAAAATAATTCACAAGAAACCTGTTTAAATATCTATGTTTAATTTTATATTATTGGTGGAAAATATTCACCAACTATTTAAAAACTGAAAAGTATGCTAGGTTTATAAATGTTTCAATTTTTTCGCAGTATTAAATTTTCAGGCATTTAATACTGCAAAAAAACACCAATAGTTATACAGAATGATTTTTCTATTATAACCAACTCAATTACTTACAGGATAAAAATCATTTAATTCGGATAACCCTAAAATAATTTTTGGAGTTACCATTTAGTTACATATTATTTTAAAATTATTAGCTATGTTTATTAGCTACTTTTAAGATTATTCCATATGCATTGTAAGGTTGCCAACTTTGTTATTTCAAATTAGAACACATATTTTGAATTTAGTAAAACGCTTAAAATTTTATTTGAGTAATAAATGGCATTTGAATTTTTAACGTTACATTAATTGTCTATTAGATATAAAACATTTAAGTTTAAAATGTTCGAGTAAATATACTTGTCTATATTTGTTGTCAATTATGACTATTAATTGATATGCTTTCTGTATAGCCAGTTACTGTATTTATAAACTCACAAAAATGTCTCTTACTGCCATTGATAATAAATGCTGCGTATCTGCGAATATCAACGTCATAAATAAAGCTACCTGTATTTGTAATACCTTGTGTACTATATACGTATATTAACTAAAAAATTTGAAACTTTCAAGTTTTATTAAAAAATGTTTTATTTATTTTTTCTATTATCGTCGCCGTTTGCGTTTTTATAAAAATTGAGTTTTATTTTTTAATTTCATAAGTACAATGAAAGTATTTAGTAAAAATTTTATTTTAAAAATCTTAAAACAATTATAGTGTATAAAATATCCAAACAGAATTTTATCATATAATATGGTTATTAACATTTATTCAGCATAAAGCTCCAGTGGTTAATTAATAACCAAATAACATTGTTATTTAATTCCATTTAATTTGTTTAAACCTGAGTAGGAAATTATTGAACGTGTTTAATTGAATTTACTGATTTAATAATGGACTATTATTTTGCTCAATAGTCTTGTATGTATTTTACGCTATTGATGTGTCATTGAAAAGGTTTTAATATTTTATGATGCAATTCAATTCACGCGAAAAGAGAATCTGTAGAGCGGATTAAAATTTGGAAAATTGATTAGACTACTCTCTGTGGCATGCTTTTTCAATTCCTCAGCGATTTGGATAACGATTAATGGTGTTGTTGAAGACAAAGAGAAAACTCAAATGTAAAACTACAACGTAATATATTGAATAACCTAAAGATTTTGACAACGATTATTTGAAACAATGCCCAAAATTAATATTAACAATTAATTGCCAAATTATGAGGGTGTAAATCAAGAATAATGTTAAACATAACGATTTTGATAAATGGTGTTAATGTAAAACAACAACATACGAAATTAATTTTTTTTCAAAGAGTAGTATACAAATAAATCTTACAAAACAAAAATTAAAGTACTTATTTAAAAAAATGACTAGTTTAAAATGTATATAAGTACTATATTTTAAATATTAAACTTATTAAAGTATAATTATGAAATTTGTACTTGGAATAAGTTATGGTATATACAGAATTACTATACGATGTATATGGTCATATCAAACAGATCAGTTTCTATTTTTTGATAAAAATGTTTTAGTATTTAATAATGGCATTCCATTAACTATTTTTTTCGGATTAAAATATTTAAAAATTTTAAAGAACGTTAAGTAATTTACATGAAAATTTCGGATTCTAAAAAAAAAAAAACAAGCTCTTAAACTACTATTAAAAGCAATAGACATTTTCTGGACCAACAAAAATTCGAATATTAAAAATTTTATTCATCTTTTATAAACGTAAAATTTATTATGATCTTTGTTAGCTTCAATTAGAAGTTAAGAAGCTATTAGTTCTACAATAATGTTTTTTTTTTACTGTCATTACAAATACATGGATTCCTCATTGGACTGATTTAATTTAAAACATCACATCGAAAAATTCCGTTAATTTTTATTATAAATAGGAATATTCTAAAAATTAAAATTTTAAAATCAATTGGGTTTTAATTTTTATTTAAATGTATACTATATTTTAAGTTCTTCGACATGTTTAATTATTTTTTGTATTATATTTAAGACGTTTATCTTTCTTTTAGTGAAATTTGTTTAAAAATTTAAACTAAAAATATTGTTTTTACTTTTAAATTATGACGGAAATTAAAATTTATATAATAAATTTAAATTTATGCGGAAGGAGCATTGTGACTGACCCTCAATATGAAGTCGAGGACATCATTCCTCGCTATATTCAAACAAGTTGTCAGATTAAATAGATTTTAAACCCAAACCTTTTTTAATGAAAAAAAAAGACTTCTTATCAGTTTTAAAGAGACTTAACAATATTATAGATTTCAAAAATTATTCAAAAGCTAGAGCCAATACAATCATGAACCCAATATAAGCCCAACCAAAAACAAAATAAACTAAATTAATTTAATGAAGTACTTATAGAGTAGCCGAAAATCATATTCTGCATGGATTTCGTCAGGAAAAATACTATAAAATCGGTTGAAAGAATATTTAGATAACTATTCTAGAGCACAACAATATTGAGTTTTTTAAAGGTGTAAAAAAGTACCTATAATAATTTGAATATTGAATATTTTACAACACTTTCATTAATTATATAGTTATAATTATTTGTTATATTTATTTATACCAGTTTTATAATAAATATAAAATGATTGTATAGTATTTAAAAATGTTCTTCTTGCAACCGAAATCACAATTATCCTTGCTATAATAAAATTTCATCAAATTAACCTATAATTGAATCTGTTTCTCTACTTAAGAAAAATGTGCTTAAATGACAACTAAAAGAAAATACACCTAGTATTATAGGTGACATAAAATAATAAAAGGGAAAAAATTTGGGTTGTTGAAAGAAAAAGTATAGTCATTATTAAGATCTAAGAGGCGCAATCTTTAAAGGATTCTAGAAGTCTTTGGTCGAGTTTTCCAAGATCTCTTAAAATAACTATAATTATATTTATAACACCTAGAGGTTTTTTTTTTTAATTTTAAATATTTACCAACCAGTAAAAATATTGGATTGATTTTCTCCTGTATATTGCATAGATATAACTACACAAAAATAATTTCAATATTACAATTCACAACAAAAATTCATAAGCATCAAATAAGTATTACTTAATTATAGATTGTATACCTGTAATATCAATATTTATATTTGAATCAACTATTGGATAAAACATAGAAAGAGACGTGGAATTTGAACAAGCTTAACAGAAATTTTATGAATTAATCAAATATTTCATAAGTTATACATTTCATTAGTGTTAAAACTAATTTATTTCTTACAAGGAAAATTGTAATTAGCGTTATTTTCGGTTTTGTTATCCATGCCAAATAATGTCTCAACTCCGCTAAAAAAATGAAAGCATAGTAAATAGAAATAAATAGAAGCACCGACAGATACATTTTATAAATGACGAAGACATTAATCTTACTGTCATGTAAAACATACATATATGTGAAAAACAGTATTAATAATAAATGATAAATAATTTTATGTTATTAATTAATAACAGTATTATTTTGTTAAAAAACCAATCCACTCTTTGACCAGTTTCACAGGTATGTAAATGTACACAATATATAGAAGATTATAATTATAGATTAGATCATCACAGAAAACAGGCCTTTAAAATTTGAAATCAGTGAGTTACCATGAACACCGCACAAATAAATGAAACATATTATTAAAACTAATGTGAAAATGTAATCAGAAATTTATAAAATTTCATGTGTCAGTAAACAGTATATATGTGAACATGCTCTTACCCTAACGGGGAGGCTCGCGGTTCACAACATGTGTTACCAACAAAACACAAGTCGCGATTTAGTGTTGGCAATATAATTTATAATTTAATAATTTTTTTGTTCAATTTTCTTCTTCTTATTTTTCTTCGCCTACTCCCAACTAATTGGGGTCGGCCACCCTTATCCTAAACTTCCATTTGACACGATCTCCCACATCATCTACGCTCACATCAGCTGTCCTCATATCGCATTAAATAGCATCCCTCCATTTCTTTTTTGGTCTTCCTCTTCATTTTTTTATAATGAATTATTATTATTATTTTTTTTTTTAAATGATTTTAACATTTTTATGACTATATTTATAGCTATATATCATAGTTATTAAAATGACAATCTCTAATATATAATTAAATAGACAATAACAGTATCGAAATTGAAAGAAAACTATGCGACTTAAGTTTGAAAAACAAATAAAAACTTACAATATATTTAAGAAAAATAGTCTAAAATAATGTTTAGTATAAACAATATTGCCAATATGACGAACGACGACGTCCAGGGCGGGGGCTTATGACGTATTTTGTTTGATCATAAATTGTAAATTGTCAGAATGTCAGGACGACGTAACTTCAGCAGAAACGTAATTGTTTACTGTCAGAACGGTCGGACGTTGAGCGTCTAAGTGTTGGAGTAGGCACACGTGTTACAACATTTTAAGTTCTGTAGTATGTTGTTATAGAGCAGAGGACGAAATGAAATTGATGAGAGAGGTTAATACTTTCAACACTGACGGACTGCCTGCTCTAACTATGTCTCATCAGTCGCTGTACACTTTAGAGTTGTTCTACTGAGGCATTCCGTCAGCACCTTCGGCGTACGGTAAAATGGACGATTTTTTCAACTTTGGATTCGTCGACACGTTGCGTTTCATTAAGCCGACTCTTCGGAAAACGACTGAAATGTAACAAAGTGCGTGAGCGTAGAGCAGTCCAAATTACATTAAACTCGTTTCGAACCGTTTAGGGGACACAATATT